CAGTAGTCATAGATCTATATTGTGAAAAAATGAGAGATCTTTCTTGTTTAAATTCACACTCTTTTTCAATTATTAGAGCCTTTTAATCCAAGATGGACATACATCTTTTTATCATTTTCATGTTATGTTATTCAGGTAGTATAAGCTGTACATATGATTATAGTGTTATATCATGACTCTCCTTTAAGTTTCTACTTAACTAGATATCCTACTCCGTACAACGTTTATGATTCTTACTAAATTGCATCTCCATATGTAAACTTGTATAAAATGTGCAGGATGTTGTTGATGCAAGGATTGTTGTAGCTGGTATGTCAACAACCTGTAGTCAGAAGATTCATAATCAGTTGGTATATAACTACTTTAATGGTTACTTTTTCTGTTGGAAGTATGTAGTTGCAAATTTCCTTGTTCAAAAAGTAGACTTATGTGATGACTGGTCACAAGTTGTTAACATTGAATTGTTTAAAATCAGTTGTTAATAGATTACCTTGAAAAACTGAATGGAGAAGATAAGTATTCTGTTAGATATTGCATTATATTTACAATATTGTATGTCTTGCAGATTGGGGTAGAGAACATGCATAAAGACACCAAGTATGTCTTATTTCTGGATGATGATGTTAGGCTGCATCCTGGGTCGATAGGAGCCCTCACTGCTGAAATGGAGAAGAATCCCAATGTGTGCTGATATAAAAACTATTGCTGTAACTTTTTTCTGAAGTTATTTTTAACACTTGAACCTGATTGGTGAGAACATTTTTTTTTTTTTTACCTGGAAAAAAATGTGCAGATATTTATTCAAACTGGATACCCACTTGATTTACCATCTGGAAGTTTGGGAAGTTACTGCATATATGAATATCACATGGTACAAGTTTATCCTGCACTTTTGTTATCTTTTTGTTCTATCATCTATGCATTATAAATATATGTTGACAATCATTATTCCGGAGTGTTCAAATGAGCTAGTACAATTGTGTGGTGCATTGATTTTGTAGGATTGAAGAGGAAGATTGTATCATAAACATAGAGATGTTGCAGTAGGTTGACAAATAGTAAATTTTGTTGGGTTGTTTTTTATTCGCTATTTGCTACATTAGATCTTGGGTGTGGTGAAAAGTGTACAAGGGTTGGCTAGGGTGTACCTCCCGATTCTCAATGAGAATCCGATTTAACATTTTTGGAGGTTAAGCAACTCGCCACTTGGGTGCATGGAGTCTTGACTAGGTAAGAATGGGTTCCTGTACTCTGATGGACGCATGGGGGGTAAAGAAGTTAGTTTAGAAAAAGAACTTGGAATTTAGGGACACTTAAACCATTGAAAAAGGTTTCATATGAACTCGAAGAACCATTATGACATAAAATATTATGTAATACTCTTGAAGGGTGTCCATATGATGTAAAGCTGATGAGTTGGCATCAAAGCGTGTATATTTAACTTTATAGAGTTTTTAAATGACTTCAAACTATTGTAATCACATTAAGCCCCTGTGTGATACCTAATTTTTTCTCATTCTATTTCTCTTTCTTCATTTCAACCAAATATTCTATTAATAAAATAATATTACACATAAACCCAAAAATTCTCCTTACTTTTTAACCACACAATCTTCCATCAATCACTATTCCAAAAATTATTTTTCAAACAAAACTGGTGTCAAACAGGGGCTAAGTTTCTGAGTAATTAACCACTAGTAGCAGGTATTATATGAACTCGAATGCATTATTGTGCATAAAACAATGAAAATATTAGAACTAGTAGGCATAATGTGGATGAAAGTCAATATAGCTTGGCACAAGAGCTAAAATAGTAGGATACAAGGAGAAAGAATTAGGGAACTCATATATAGACTTTGTTTCACTGCTAAGGAAAAGAGTAAAAATGGGTCAAGAATAATCATTGACCCAGTTTAAAAGATGCAGTGGTGTAAATTAAATAGATTGGTTAGATGTTGTCTTATAGTGGAGAATTTCGTATTCCTCCAGGCTTGTATCGAGGTTTACTTCATGAAGAAGCTTATGAGACAGTTGAGTTGATAAGTTTCGGAGGGTAATAAATTGTATGCTAGAATTTTGGGGGATCACTATGGAATTTATAGGATTTAGTTTAACTAGAGCCAAGACAAAATACGTATGTTCTTCTAGTCATAGCAAGAATAATGATGATAGTGGAGTCACTATAAAGTGTCATATCGTCCAAAAAAGAAACAGTTTTAAGTACTTAGGCTCGATTACTACTATGGAAGTTGGACATGAAGACGATGTAACTCGTAGGATTAGACGAGTTACGAGTTAGATGGAATGAAGAAGTTCCAACAGAACAAATTGGAACAAGGAGAGGTCGACCATAACTGATATGGTTTAAGGTGGTTTTAAAGGATTTGATTATCACTCTTCACATCATTCCTTTGCATAAATCAAACGATAAATGTTATGCGCTTTGGTCTTTTCATTCCATGTGTCGTGACTCATGAGGACCAAGAGGTTTTGGTTTCGTCTTAAAAGTGTAGTCCATTTCTACTGTTAATCAGATAATTGGTAAAACAATATTGCACTAAATTTTGACAGCATGCGGGGTGAACAAGCACATCAAACAAACATCTTGTACCGTGCATCCTTTGGGTTGGAGCTTTGGGCATTGGTCAATATGCATTTTGGAACTGGTTTTAGTGAAATGTGGGATTCATTTCATGAAATTAATTTTCATACCGTGCATTAAGTCATTGGCAATTTTGAGCATAATTCACGAATGCAGCTTGGAACTCTGTAATCGTCGTTGAAATTCAGGATTTAGGTGAAGAAATATAATTTTCTTCGTGTGAATTTAAAGGAGAATTTAATTGAATTTATTATTTGCAACTTGGTTGAACATGAACTCAGCAAAATATATTGAGGGAGGGAGGGATAAAACATATAATAGGGTTCTTTTTTTTTTTAATTTCTTCCTCAACCATGTTAGTCGCATACTTCAATAAATTTTGTACTTATCTACTGTCTTCTTATTTTTCCTTTTGTCAAGGAGCAACTTGGTTTTGTTACATTTATACTAGTATCGTAAGTGTTCTACAGTCATATAGAACTACGGTCAATTGATATCATTTGACACATACCCACTTGGTTTCGTTTGGTTATGGTACGTATCGTAGAATTACTTGCATAACAATTTTTCCTCTTGGTGCAAACCTAACAGTTCACATCTATTTACAGCCTTGTTCAATGGGGTTTGCAACTGGTGGAAAAACATTCTTTTTATGGGGAGGATGCATGATGGTAAATTTTGTGAGCATATTTCAGAATCAATCATTATTATAGGTTTCAAGAATCTCAATTTTGAATTTTCTCATTGCAGATGCATGCAGATGATTTTAGAAATGACCGCCATGGTGTTGTTTCAGAACTTCGAGATGGAGGCTACTCAGATGACATGACTCTTGCAGCTATTGCTGGTATTATGTTTGCAGTCTCCTGCTTAAGTGTATATGCTCCAACTAATGTGGTGTACTAAATTATCACCTCTTTTAACATGACTAAATTTCCAGTTATGGATTTGGTTTTCTATTTTGTGTTATATAGGTAGTTAAATTAAATACTCTAGATGCTAATACTTCTGTTCCTTTCAGGGGCTCATAAGAGGCTAATTACATCTCCACCTGTTGCTGTTTTCCCACATCCTCTTGCCACTGATCTTAACTTTGGAAGGTTTGTACTGTATAACTAAAACTCTCAATGATCCAGAATCATCATTTATGTGCTTCTGGTTGGTCCTTCTAACCTCTATATTATTATTATTTTTTTGCCCTATTTTCGTGTAGATACTGGAATTATTTGAGGAAGCAAACATTTGTTTTAGAGTCCTATGCGACACAAGTCAACTGGATTATGAACCGTGCATTATTTTCTACGCATTGCTACTTGTCTTGGGGATTTGTAACGCCATATATTATGGCCGGGATACATGTAGCAGCAGGACTATGCTTTTTTTCTAAGGGGAACTCGCTTGCTGAAACAGATTTTCCAGCATGCGGTGAGCACTTTACTTCTTGGTAACTTAGGTTGTTTAGGATTGAAGAATTTAGTGAGCTCGGGCAAGGAACATTAGCATTATGGTTGATAAATCTAAAGACCTTCACTTTGTTTTCACTTTTTTACATTTTCTCATTTTTGATGTCTTGGAATTTGTAAACATCTGGCTATTCAATTAACTATTGAACAAGATAAATTGTTAGCGTGATTACTCTAAAGTGCTCAAGTTGTTCTGTGCAGTCACTTGAAATGATCTAATAACATAGAATTTGAAGCGTGAGCAATGAAGGTCTATTTGCTGATGTTTTGACATGAATAATCTATTATGCTTGAATGGCATTAGAGGCTGAAGCATGATTATGAAGTCTTTGAAATGAGTACGTTTGCTCTTGGATTTCTCCCTCACTTCTTTTGATATGGCTAGGGTTGAAATTGGTTGGCTGCCTTCTTGTATGTACAACCATTGAACTTCTTTCCATGTGGAACCTGACAAGAATAGAGGTGCAGTTATGCAATTTGTTGTCTCCTGAGGCTCCTTCATTATCACTTGCATCTTATAACTGGTGTCTTGTAAGTACACCTCTACTTTTCTCATA